CATAAACATGTGGATTATAAGGACAATCAAAGGAAATGGAAACATAGTGTAAAACGAATCAACTATTTAAAAGTTCCTCAGTATTCTGTTTGGGACTTTTGTAATGTGTATTAGGAATATTGATTCTTTTGTAGTGTTAAATTTTAAGTGTTCCCCCCCCCCCCCCGCCCCCAATACAGTGGATATCGGTATACAAAACTTTCACAGCTGATATATATAATAAGATTTAAAAACAGCTGTTGCAATACATATGCCAAACAGTGGATGATCCCACACATCATGAACTCCATGGTCCCTCTGCAACGTGCTGTGTGGCAGGCAGCAAAGATGTTATAAAAACCTGGTGCTGGTGTGGAAGGAATGTGGTTATACCAGATGTTCCCTGCTCTGTGTAGCCATCACTTTCTCCTCCACAGGAAATTCACATGGCCATTGGGCCATGTAAAAAGTAGGGATTTTGCTTCAAGTAGCATTTATTACCTTTCCTTGCTCTATGGCCCCCATTGGAAGGGTCAGAGAGTACAGACCACTGTCCAGAAATCAATGGCAGTATAAGTTTGCTTGTGCGTATGTGGTGATGATGTTAGGGGGAGCCTGGAAGATGCAGACAGGATCAGTGTAAAGTTAAGCTTTGAGTCAGTTGGACTAAGCACATTCATAAGTCTTTGCAGGACTGAAGCCATAACGATGGGGCAGAACTCATCTTGTTCAAACCCACAGCAAATCAGTACTAATCCAGAATCAGAAATAGAACTCAGGAGCACTGATTCTCAATTCTCTGTGCTAATTCACCCCTATTTTCTCTTTTATAATGTTGTCTTTGAAATTCCTTTTGGGATAAAATTTCTCATGCTCAGGTGTCTTGCAAAGTGGGCTCACCTAGTTTCAGTAGTGCAAGTGATGTCCAGCTCACACAAGGTAGCTCAAAAAAGGTCTTTCTGTGACCTAAATACAAAATGTATTCAGCTGTAGGCTCTGCCTGGTTTCTTGGGTTTTGGTAGAAGGAAGACCGTCCATCCATCCCCCGGCTTTACTTGAGGGCGGGTCTTTTAGTGCTACTAGAGCACCTGCTGTGCTGTGCCTGGTCTGAACCCAGATTGTGAGGCATCTAGCATTTGTTAGTTTGCTTCTGTGTTAACCTTTTAACTCAATGTCTGAAAAACACATAAGAGACCAGCAGCACCCTCAGCTCTATTAACTATTCTCTGGTTCTCAAAAGTGTCCTCTCCCATAGGTGCTGGAACTAGGAGTGTGGGGGGTGCTGCAGCACCCCTGGCTTGAAGAGTTTTCCATTATATACAGTTTTGTTCAATGGCTGTCAGCACCTCCACTATAAAAATTGTTCCAGCATCCCTGTCCCCTCCAGCAAAAGATTGGGAAGGTAAAACTTGATACTCCTGGTACTTTTAGGGTACAAACAACAAGAAAAAAGTTTTGAATATTGTTTCAAATATTCATTATATATTCATAAATAAATCCATTTTTCTTTCTTTTGCAAGTTGCCTTTAAGGATATTAGAAACATTAGTAAGAAAAGAGGAATTGAGAAGAAGAAAATGTAAAGAATTTAAATTTAAAGAAAGTTAAAATATTTTGGGACAGATTCTCCCCTCAAATACTCATATGTGATTAATTCTGGCTTCAATGTGCATGGTTAACTGAGCGTACAGTTTGGTCCTAAAGATATTGTTGTAAAGTTTCAGTTCAACAGCGGGACAACAGCACAGCTGTAAGACCTGATGGGTAGATGCACATTTGATTTCTTTTCACATTTTTCCTTGCTCATGGGTTGCTTGTCGGGGTTTCTTTCATTCACTATCTCCTGAACTCTTTGTTTTGGACCTGTGAGAAGGGAAAGGAACTGTGTATTGCATCTTGGGAATCAGAAGAAGTGATTAGGTCAAGAGCAGGAGACAGACTGAGTCAGCTGAGCCAGAATATTCATGCTTTGTCCCACCCCCCATGACATCATGGAATTCGAGGGAATTTCCACCAAAGGCAGAGCTCCTGGCTGGGAGAGTAGAATAGGGCAGTGGTTTTCAAACTTTTTTTCTGGGGACCCAGCTGAAGAAAATTGTTGATGCCCATGACCCAATGGAGCTGGGGATGAGGGGTTTCGGGTGTGGGAGGGGCTCAGGGCTGAGGCAGAGGGTTGGGATGCGGCGGTAAGAAACTCAGGGTGTGGGAGGGGGCTCTGGGCTGGGGCAGGGGGCTGGGGTGTGGGAGGGTGTCAGGGCTCTGGGCTGGGGGTGCAGGCTTTGGGGTGGGGCAGGGGATGAGGGGTTTGGAATGCAGGAAGGGGTTCTGGGTTTGGGAGGGGCTCAGGGCTGGGGCAGGGGATTGGGGTGCAGGGTTGGGGCACGGACTTATCTTCAGCGGCTCCTGGTCAGCGATGCAGCTGGGGTGCAGAGACAGGCTTCCCGCCTATCCTGGCACCGTGGACCGTGCTGCACCCCGGAAGTGGCCAGCAGCAGGTCCGGCTCCTAGGCAGAGGCGCGCAAGTGGCTTCACGCGACTCTCGCCCACAGGCCCTGCCCCCCCCAGTTCCTGTTGGCCGGTTCCCAGCCAATGGGAGTGCAGAGCTGGTGCTCGGGGTGGGGACAGCATGCAGAGCCCTGTGGCCCTCCTGCCTAGAAGCCAGACCCACTGCTGGCCGCTTCCGGGGCACAGAGTGGTGTCGAAACAGGTAGGCACTAGCCTGCCTTCGCTGGGCAGCATTGATGACGGGACTTTTAACATCCCAGTCGGCAGTGCTGACCAGAGCGACCTAGTGCCTGACATGCCATAACCCAATACTGGGTCGCGACCTGAAGTTTGAAAAATGCTGGAGTAGGGCATCATTCAAAGCAATGTTGAACTTGAGTTAAGCATAGTTTAATGTTATTAATACAAATGATATTAAACCTAATAGTAGGTTGAGAATGGAGTGAAGCTTCCCCTTGCTCACTGGACTGTAATCTAATGGCTCAATCCTCCAGTCCTTATTTACATGAAGATTCCTGCTGAAATCAGTAGGAATACTCGTGCTAATCAAGACTGCAGAGTGAGACCCTAACTGCTAGGAAAAGACCTATATTGTAAATGGAATCCCATATCCAATGCAACACATGAAAGCATAGTTACTTTATTTTTACATTTTAATATTTTTACAGTTAATACCGACAATAATGGCCCTTAGTCTGGGCACTTCCTCTCATGTAATAATTGTCTGTGCTAATGGCCGTTAACTCTTCCCACTGGTCATTGAAGTCTGTTTGCACTGTATCAGTAATAATGTTAATTTTGGGTGCCTGGACTTTATTATTTTATATTGTATTTTATAATATCCTATTCTAATATCCTATTCTATAATATTATAATTATTTACTCTGGGTCTTCTTTCTTGTTACCTCTTAAAGTGCAGTTCTACTTTAAAAAGTGACTGTAAAAGTATCAGAGGATAACAGGTTTGGTTTCTCTATTGATTTTTCCAAAGTTTACAGGTAAAATGATATTTTTTTCTAACTGCTAGCTTCACAAACTCATCTTAAGATCAGAGAGTCAAACTGTTTTTTTCTGGCTCTCTTGCATCATCACTTGTGGTAAAGCTTAGTTATATACCTGTACAACTGAAAACAATTGGGTTGCACAGGTGTAACTGACTACAGAATTTGACCCTGCAACTGTAACTTCACAAATCTGTTCATGATGGGTAAGTCAGAATAGAATGCAGTTCACTCTCCTATAGATATCTGAGCTTCTCAGGTTTAACAAAAATATAAAGTAAAATGCATGTTCTCATTAAATAATAAGGCAAAAAATATAACTCTGAAAGAACACAGGGATCAGATCAGTTGGGTGAGCAGGGGCCATTTTTACATAGTCACTTTTCTGACCATAACTGCACTTTCACCTTGGAATAACCTCCCGCTACTGATCCTCCAAGTGCCTTCTGTCATTTCCACTCTTTTCAAATCTCTCTTTATAACCCATTTCTCCCACAAATCTTTTCCAAGCTGGACTTCTCGACAGTGATCCCTTCCCAGTCTCATGCACCCAAAAGTCTGATTTTGCAGGGAGGGGGAAGAGAATTCTTTCATCCTAGATTAATTTTAAGGCGGTTCTAAAAGTCTCACCTGGTTGCACTACAGGGTTTTGTTTTGTATGTGTTTGAACTAGATACCTGCAATTTCCCGAAAATACTTCTCCAACCCCTAGGACTGATCCAGCCCTTCAGATCTGAGCATCCTCCAACTTCGGAGGTGTCAAGAACCAGCTCTAGATCTGAATTTTTTCCAGCCATGTGTAATTTGATTTTTTAACCTCCCCACATTCACTGTTCCAGCCTGTCAGTCCCTCAGACGTTTTGCTTATGTTCTCTGGGGCAGGGACTGCGTCTGGCTCCCTAAAGCACCTTTGACATTTATGAATTACATTAGTGGCAGGCGGGAAGTGTTTGCGCTGTTGTACATGGTCGTGCCCGCGCAAGAGGAGCCTGTGGGACCCATCCGGGCAGTGCCCCGCAGGTGAGCCAGGACACGACTAATATTTTTATTTGTTCAGCGATTAGGGGCACAACAGTGTGGGGCTGCCTGGCCCTAGCCATCTCTGGGGGTGGAGACAGGGCAGCGGCCGGGTCCGGTTGCGAGGCTGGCTACAGCTGGGGTCTGGTAGGGGCGGACGGCTACAGGGGACCGGTTGCCGTTGGTCTGATCTCGCGCTGGCTGTTGGGCTCACGCCCGCGACCGTTAGCCGCGGCAGAGTCCCCGGAGTGGCCTCGCGCTCCCTCCTGGCCGCTGGCCTCCCCCTCTGCTCGCGGGGAAAGGGAGGAGGGGAGGGAATCCCTCTCGCGCGCGCGGCGTGTCTTTTGTGTTTGTACACACAGCGCCCGGCTCAGAGGTTGCGCGGGGCCAGAGATGAGGGAGGGAGGAAGGGGAGCGGGCGTGGCCAAGCCTTCCCTCCATTGTGCACCATTGGCCGCCTGGCGGAGGCCGGGGCGGGGCCGGGGCGGGAGAGGGCGGGGCCAGGCGGCGGGGACGGCCCTCGCGAGTCAGCCATCTTTCAATTGTGCTCTCAGCCGCCGCCGCCAGCAGCAGTAGCTGTAGCTCCTCCTCGCTTCCTCCCTCCCTGCACGGCAGCCGCTCTCAGCCCAAGCGGACGGGGGTAAGTCCCTGGCTCTCCCCCCAAGACTCCCCGCGCCCCGCCACTCGGCGGGGCCCCCATGGCCGCCCCCCAACCCGCCGCACAAACTTTTGGGGGCCAGAAATCGGTGCTGGGAAGCGGCAGCATCCGGAGTCCCCCTTCTCCTCGCCACCTTCCCCTGCTCAGCCAAGGAGCCTGAGCTGCTCCCTTCCCCAGCCCCCCCAGCCCCTCTTCGCTCGATCATTGCCCCCCTGTGCCCCCCTTACCCCCACTCCAGACCCCCACCAACACCCTCCCCAGCCCCTTAGCTACCTCCTGAGCCCAACATCTCCCCGGATCGGGGCTGGGAAGCAGCTGCAAAGAGGAGCCACTTGCCAGCCCAGGGTAACTCTCCTGCCTTCCTTCCCCTGCTCCCCACAGTTGTTGCTCAGCTTCACCATCTTGTCTCTTTTCTCTGGTCACCGACCATATTTTTTTCCTATTGCCTAAAAAACAATAAAAAAGGAAAGAAATTTGCAACAGAAACAACCGCAACCCAGTGCATTTTTTTGCATTTTGATTGCAAACTTTTCCCCCATTCCCACTTGATCTGCACCCACATGGTTTGGAGTTCCTTGTATTTTTTGCATTATTTTTTGCAATTTTATTTTTTTCCCTCTTTGCAAAAGGACTAGGGCTGCATTTCGTGATTGTTTCCATTTTGTTCGGGTCTGGGAGATGAGTTTGCCAGTGAGAGGCGCTTGGGAGCGAGGCAGCCTTGGAAAAGCAATTGCACAGAAAGAGGCAGAGAGGCAGCACCAAAAACAACCCCCCCAAAAAGTTTGTTGCTTTCTTGAACTTAAGTCAGACTCTTTTTGTTTGCGGAATAAATACCGATTTGCGTGTATTTGCTTTTTAATTTGCGGGCATAGCCGAGCGATTGCAATGGGCAGGTTGCTTTGCAGAAAGCATTGAGGGGCTGCTTGTCTACTTTCCCCCTCTCTACTGTTTTGAAAGAGGTATTTTTGCTCAATGCAGACTATAAATTGGATGCAAGCCCCCCAGTGTTTTTCAGGTAATATTTGGAGCACTTTTCAGCTGACGGGGGGAGAGCTACAGGGGGCAGTAACAATCTCTTATCTGTTGTTTGAATCGACCTATTTAGGTTTTGCTGCTGCATCGTTCCTGTTTAACGCTTGGGTGAAACTGCATTTTAATAATAATCTGAGGTCTTCAGACACTTAATTTCTTTTGCAATTAGATAAATTAGACCGATGGGCCTTTTTGGCTAGTGTGTTTTCTCTTAATTCAGCAGTTGAAAGGGAAGGATTCCTTTATGTGGCAAGCAGTTACCTAGAGTCGCAGGTTCTGTTGTTAGAAGTGTGGTGTTTGCATGGTACAGAGGTATAATCGGGATCATTTTAATTGTTCAATGTTGTACGTCTTTTGATTCTTGTTAGACAATATTTTTAAGGTGTAAAAGATAAATCTGCATTTCTGGAACATCTGAGCTAGTGGCTAGTTTGTTGCAGTGTGTGATCGCATGGTAATTTTTTACCGATAGGTGTAAGGAAGAGAAGTTTTCAGGAACATGGCTCGTACCAAGCAAACTGCCCGTAAATCCACTGGTGGTAAGGCACCTAGGAAGCAGCTCGCTACGAAAGCAGCTCGCAAGAGTGCGCCCTCTACTGGAGGGGTCAAGAAACCTCATCGCTACAGGTACAGAAATTACCAGGGACAAAGCTTGTGATGCAACATCCCCTTAACCAAACGGAAACGTTTATCGGAACAGAACTTTTTGCATTGGGGGAACTTTGGTGGTTTTCTTTTTAATTCTTGATCAGGGTGATTTTTACAGTGCTTTCATTATTTCACTACTTGATTATGAACAAGTTTTAAATAATCCACAATATGTTTTATGTTTAATATTTGCACAGTGGCTTAAATTTATTGTGTAGTAATAATAGGCTTATTGAATAGATTATTAATTTTAATTTATATTTATGCAATTAAGACCTCGTTTAAGCTTAAACAAATGTCATCCAAACATGTATGCACTTTGTGATTTAGCTTCTAATTAATTTAAGTATGGTAACAGAATTGGACTGAAACAAACTTTAATGCACAGAACTGATTTTAATTTACTTAAACTGGTACAATTTTGTCTTCACAGCTATTTTGCTATTTAATGAACTGACAGTGTAGTTAAGATATTCTACCATTAGAGGGCAGAACATGTCTACATATAAGCAGAATCTTTGCAAATAATTTTACGTTCAGTTAACCTAAAATGAAGACTTAAATAGAGGAGGAAATAGGTTAGAATTACAGGTAAATCTCTTGCTGACAATTATGTTGTAATAAACTCTTTCATCCGGAAGGATCCTTGCGCAATTAAGAGTTTTAACATACGATTGTTCATCTTGAGGGATGGTCATTGTTATTAAAGTGTGTGTGTTTCCTCTTTGAGAAGAGGAGCAGAAAGGCATTTTGGAAAGTGAATGTAATCTTGAAACACTGCAAATGCATATTTTAAGAATGTTTTAGTCTGCATTCATGGTCCATAAAGTAGTATTAGAGAATACAGATGAGAAGAGGGAGGTGGAAATTAATACTACAAATTAGTAAGTAACTTAAGGCAAAAAACCCCAAATGTTCATAATAAATGAAATATACACAATAATCATGCCAGAAATGAACTGTGTGTTTGCAAAAAGATGGCATTAACATGAATTTTTAGTTAAAACACTAATGTAAGAAAATTTGATTATATTTTATTCTAAGAGCTTAAAATCTCACCAAGGATATGATGTTTTTCAATGCTGTTTTTATTGTCATAGCTACAGGGTAGGGAGGGAGTGACCTGTTTTTGATGCGAATTAGCTGGTTGAGGTAAATTCTTGGGGAGAGTCTGTGGCTTAACTTGACCAGATAACTCATGTTAACACTACAACTTGCCTTGTCTGCACTAAGTTTAACACATGTTGGTTAGTGTACGTTAGCTAATGTGTTGTACACCTTTTTTCCATGCTGAAGACAAGGCTTTGGAGGGCCTATTCTTGTTGCTTATCCATAGATGGAATGCCTGTTGAAGTTAATATATGAGTGATGAGATCAGGCCCTCTTTGTATGTCAAGGTGTTTTTGTGTTGTAAATACTGAGATGCTTCTAGTAAAAACAGAGCATATACAAAACGTTCCTAGTTCAGATCAGAAGAACATGGGTTATTTGATATTCTAAAATGATACAGAATATTTGTAAATGTTAATTATTTTTTTATTAATTAAAAGGCCGGGTACTGTGGCTCTCCGTGAAATCAGACGTTATCAGAAGTCTACTGAACTTCTGATCCGCAAACTTCCCTTCCAGCGTCTGGTGCGTGAAATTGCTCAGGACTTCAAAACAGATCTGCGCTTCCAGAGCGCTGCTATTGGTGCTTTGCAGGTAAAATTTATTGGAAGACTGATTTATTTTTAGGCCTAATTTAAAAGAATTTTTTTGTGCATGGATGTCTGTAGATGAGCTTGTGAAACTCATGGCAGTGGTCGTACTGCTTAGATTTGTATGCATCTGTATTCATATTCAGAAGGTGGTTAAATGATGTCCCTGTCTGCTAGTGTGGATTCCTAATAGTTTGAGTACTGTTTAACAAAATGAGTTACCTGGTGTTTCCTTATGCAAATATCTAAAAACATCACAAAGAACTAAAGAAGCATCCCTAACTGAAACCTCTAATATCTTTTAAAAAATAATTTAAACAGATTAACTCTTAGAGTACCTTGATTGCCTGAAAAAAGATTTATCATGGAAATAATTCATCATGACGAGAGAAGAACTGCTGGAATATTGCTGTAAATATGCACACAAACTAATCTGCAGTAACTTTTATATAAGTATCCTTATGCTGGTAAAACATGAAAATGACTTAAAAGAATATTTTCTTTAGAGCAGTAGCTGATAGGGCCATACTGTTGCCTTTGTTACTGTGGGGGAGAGGATGTGATAGGTCAGTTACATAAACTCATGTAATTGGCTGGGCTGTTTCGGTGGTTAGTCAAAATTTCACTCGATTGGTGGACTTCAGAAGTAGACAGGTGAATTGATGCTACTGTGTTCAACTCCCCCGAAGTAATTAACTTTTTGTTGTTGTATCATTTATAATTTGATAACATAATCTCGTCAATAAACAACTTTATAAAAATGCCATAAATATATTATTAAAATTGGAAATAGCTCTCAAAAAATCTCTTACCTTATCAAATGCAGAAATAGTACTTTTCTCATAATAAACTGAGATAAATGTTCTATTCCTTCCCTCTCACTTAAATTTTGTAATAATTAACATCTTTGAAAGCCAAGCTCTTTGAGAGTAGATAACCTGTGTGTTTATAACTTAAGGTTTCAGGACACTCAAAAAACTTCACTGAGCACACATTTAGGTAACCAGGGCTTCCTAAAATACAGTTAGTATAACAATGATTAATAATTGCAGATTTGCTAGCATTTCAGTTATGTACCACAAGGTATATTGAGAAATTGGTGGCTTTTTATTGATCCTGCTCTTGGATTTATTTGGGCAACTTAAATCCTGAATTGTTCATTTTTTGTTACCTCTGCGCATAAAAATAGTTTGACAATTTTCAATATTAAATTTTAATACAACTGTAACTTAATCATATAACTGGATAAAGCTGCTAATAGAATTATATTATAGCAGGGGTGGCCAACTGTGGTTTGCAAGCTGCATGTGGCTCTTTTACAATTAGTGTGGCTCGTGGTGTCCCCCTCCATGTCTTCCCCTCCCCCCCCATTCTCTATCTACCAGATGAGAGGGGAGCTCGGGGCTTTTGCCCTGTGGCAGCATAGAGGGGTTAGGGGCTTCTGCCAGAGACAACTGGTGCCTGCTGAGAGTTGGGGAGGGACAAACCTTTAAATTGTGCCCCGCAACAGCTTGAGGCATGTCCCCAAACCTCAGCAGCTCTTCCCTGCAGCTCCCAGGTGTTAGCTCTGCTGCATGGAAAGGCAGCAGCATAAGGAAAGGTTCTCCCTGCAGCTCCCAGCTGTTTGCCCGCTGCCACAGGCCGCAGCTCCCAGCTTGCTGGCTCCAGCAGCTGTTGTGCAGAGAGGGGGCCTGGCGGCACCATGTGACCAAGCAGGGCCAGCAAATCCTGGCAAAAATCTGGGGGACATGACCCGCCAAGCCTCCCCATGCGTTGCCTCTGGTTTCTGCCCAATGTAGAGGGGGGTCTCGGTGTTTCAGCCCTGCAGAGCATACCTGCTGAGGCTTGGGACTTCAGCAGGAGTGGGGCTGGAGCCCTGACCCTAGGCAGGGTTCTCCTGCAGGGCTGTAGCCCTGAGACCCCCCTCTCCCGTCAGGGCTGAAGTCCAAAGCCCTGACAGGCGCATCCCAACTCTTAAACTTCTGAAGGTTATTGTATGCAGCTCGGGGGGTGAGTAAGTTTGGCCACTCCTGCGTTATAGCATCCTTTCTTCTCTTCTCATTGTGAAAAATAGTAGTGCCTACTTGTCTTGTTAAAGTTCTGTGTTCAGGTAATTAGAAGGACCAAATGTTTCAAGTGGGTGGCTTGTCTCTAAATGATTTTGCTTTATTATTTCTAAGCAAACGTCTGTGGTTCTGACCCATAAATGCTTAACTTCAACAGCTGATTTTAGTGGGGCATCACATGCTTAAAGTTAAGCATTTGCATAATTGTGGGCTTGTGGCGTGAGGCTTTTAAATCCTTAACTGGTGTTTTAAAACCTAGTGGGAGATTCTCAAGATTTTGGGGTTTGTCTACACTAGTTTTTTTTAACCTGGAATTAATTGATTGCAAATTAACTCAAGGCTGCTAAAACACTTCAAAGGCTAATTTGGACATACCCCTTTTGTTTCAGGATAGAAACCTTTGGTTTACTCTAGTGCTCAGCGTAATGGTAATCTTGCAAGGCAAAAAGGGCATGTGTGTTTGTTTTTTCCAATCCTGTTAGCTCATCCTACTTACCTGAACATGATTGAAAAGCCCTATTAAGATGCAGGATAATTTGTATTGAGGCTATGTTGTAAACTGTGTTCCCTTCCCCCACAGGCTTTAACTTGAGCACTTCGCTATATGTTAAAGGCAGCGTGTCTGGTCTACACTAGGCTTTTAACATATGTTCGGCCTTGTTGTCGGTAGGAAAAGCTGTGTGCTGAACTCAAAATAACTAATTCCAGGAAAAATCCTAGTGAGGAAGGGTAGTTTTCACTTGAATTAGCAGGTCAAGTTAAAGAAGATGTGGGAGCCTAAGCACCTTTTGTTCGTCGAGACACGCCTTTACTAGTGCTACAGTTGTCCTATTATTCCATGCACAAGTACAAGTCAAAAGAAAGTTCAGCATCAATCAATCTACTGTGTGAAAACTTTAAGCAGTCTTCCAAATTTGCTTTACAGGTATAGAAGCTGAAGAGCATCTGTATTGGCTTTGTACCTGTTTCTGTATTTTGCATTTTAGAAGCTAACTTGAAGGTTACTTGATGTTAGAATTCAGACTCTTGCTCACTTCAAACAGTGTAAGCTGTTCTACTGAGTTTAGTATCACTCTGAATCATCATAATGGGCTTAAAGTTCCTAGTCAAAGTATTTTAAAATGATTAAATATTTCTTTATTTAATTGTAGGAGTACTGTTGTAGCTATAATACTTCCCAATATCTTATGTTTTGGTCAAAGTATCTCTGTAATCATCTTCCAGAGAATATCCGCTAAATAGCAGAGGTATACCAAACTTTATTTGGCTGAAAGTACAGAAAATCATTATCTGTGGAAATAAAAGTAATACAGGTTGGCTGTTTGTAGGGAAGCAGTGAGAGAGACTGCCACACTATTGAAAATACTAAACTGTTGCTATCTTTAATAGATATGTTCCTAGACTTACGATTACTTGAGATTCTGTCATGGACTCCTATATTCTTTTAGGTGCTGTGTGTGTAAAAAGTCTTTAACTCTTTGTTTCTTCTATAATAGGAGGCAAGTGAAGCCTACCTGGTTGGCCTGTTTGAAGATACCAACCTCTGTGCTATCCATGCCAAACGTGTCACAATCATGCCAAAAGATATCCAGCTAGCACGCCGCATACGTGGAGAGCGTGCTTAAACTCCACTATGGTGGGTTTGTCCTTCTCAATACAAATCTCTTCTTCCTGTTATTGGTAGTAATGAACGTTAGATATTTTTTTTCCATGGGGTTAAAAGGTACCTAAGTATATGGTTGCAAATGGAAACATAGGGGACAGAATCGGGTATTGGCAAGTTTTTTTTCCATTTTCATTTGTGTGTGGATTTTTAATATAAATGCGGGGACATAGAGCATTAATGCAGTCAAAAATGTTTCAGTGAACAAGTTTCAACAATTCAACTTTATAGCAATTATAAATAAACCTGTCAAATTTTTCTGGACAATGCCAGCATTTGGATTTTTTTAAAACAAGTAAATTTCTTATCGATGGCAATTAAATGGTGTTTGTAGCATTTTTATCATACAGTAGATTCCATCCATTCGCTATACTTTTCTAACTGAGTTGTCCTACATGCAAGTACATGTTTTTAATGTTGTCTGTCTTCTGTGCTGTTCCTGTAAGTTTGCTATTAAAATACATTAAACGACACCTGCTTTTAGTCTTGTTTTTTAAACCTTCTACTTGGATCGTCCGAGAGTGGTTCAATGTGTAGGGTTTTGGACAACTTTTCTACCTATTCCTCTTCCTGTTCCAGGTTTAATACTGAAAAGTAACATTTCCAGCATTGTTTTAACGTTCACTCAGGCCCAGAAGAGTGTGTCCTTGCAATAACTGTGAAGTAACTGCTTTTTTTAAAAAGAAAAAAGTTTCCTCACTGGTGGAGGAAAGTGGAGCTTTGAGCCTCTAATCAAAAAGTGTTGCTTAACCCTGAAGTGATAAGTGTATTAAAGAGGTAAAGAGACTGGGATGTGGAAGTAGTATGGAAAGCAAGAAGAAAGTCATTGGGTAAGAGTTCTAAATTTCACTATATATTTTTAAAAAAAAAAAATTGTTGGTAATTTGACCTTTTTATTTTTTTTTTTTTACTTCAATTAAAAACTGTTCATGCAGAGTCTGGAAGTAAACCTTCAGTCCATGCAGAACATAATCAAAAGAACCTAGGGCAAACCAAGGTAAAATATCTTTTTTTTTTTTTTTTTAAATTCATCTCTTCCCCTTCACCACCACCCCCACTCCGCCCACCATCTCATTCTCAACCAGGTAATGTTTACTTTGTTTTGATGAGTGCCTTTTTTTGAACAAAGTTCTTTGCCCTGGTTGAGAACTCAGCATATGCACAATTGCTTGTAATTCCTACTCCCTGTTCAAAATAATAATATAGTACTTGCATGATAAGTCATCTTTTTTTAGTTTTGATCTCTCATGCAAGTAGTGAATCAAGCTGGGTAGGTACTGCAAATGCTCATACTGGAGTATCAGTTTTATTTTTTTAACTCTCCTTGATTGTGCCTCTCGTTTATTTTAAATGACTGTTCCAGCAAAAAAATTCTAGCTGAAACTGCCTTCTGTAAGACTTGATTAATTTTGAATTCATAACAGTGGTTAACTTCATTGGAAACTTGACTTTAAGGATTCTTCTCATCGAGCTGAGGAAGAACATACCACATTACTCGTTTCTAGTCAACAGCTCTAATATCTAACTAATTTCTGCTCTGTAATTCATTTACAGGTAATAATCGGAGTGAAATTCTCCCCGTGCAGAGTCCCTACAAAACCTGTGTGCCCCTGAGTCCCTCAAAAAAAGGACTTCATGGCACAGAGGCTTTATGCAAGCTCTTAGCACAGGGGTGGGCAAACTACGGCCTAGGGACTGCATCCGGCCCTTCAGACATTTTAATCCAGCCTTTGAACTCCCACCAGGGAGCAGGGGTCCGGGGCTTGCCCCGCTGTAACCGGAGAGCAGGGTCAGGGGCTTGCCCCACTCCACGCATACCGTGGCTCCGCACGGCTCCCAGAAGCAGTGGCATGGCCCCTTTCTGGCTCCTATGTGTAGGGGCAGCCAAGGGGCTCTGACCGCCCTCAGCGCCACCCCCGCAGCTCCTATTGGCTGGGAACCACGGCCAATGGGAGCTGCAGGGACGGTGCCTGCGGATGGGTCAGGGTACAGAGCTGCCTGGCCGTGCCTCCGCATAGGAGCCGGAGAGGGGACATGCTGCTGCTTCTGGGAGGTGCTTGAGGTAAGCGCCACTCAGAGACTGCACCCTTGACCCCCCGCCCATGCCCACACCCTCACCCCTTGCCCCAGCCCTGATCTTCCTGGCTTCCGAACCCCTTAGTCCCAGCCTGGAGCACCTTCCTGCACCCCAAATCCTCATCCCCATCACAGAGCATGCACCCCCAGCCAGAGCCCTTACCTCCCACCCCCGCACCCCAACCCCTTGCCTCAGCGCAGAGCCCCCTCCCGCACATTGAGCTCCTCATTTCTGGCCCCACCACAGAGTTTACACATCAAGTCAGAGCCCTCACCCCCTCCTGCACCCAATTTTATGCGCATTCATGGCCCGCCATACAATTTCCACACCCAGATGTGGCCCTCAGGCCAAGAAGTTTGCTCACCCCTGTCTTAGCACAAGGGTGAACTTCATCTTCTGCAGATACCTTCAAACAGTAGAGATTCATGATCTGTTTTGGCAGTTCCTGAAGAGAGAGAGCCAAAACTTACTCAATAAATCATGTTTATAACTTGTCCAGCTCTAGCAGTAATGAATACTATCTGCCAGCATTGTTCAAGTCTCTTAATGGAGTAGCTTGTCGAGGAAAAGTAATGCCATACAGTGTAGTTAGAGCAGATCATTTGATGCTAAACCTGTCCAAATCTGTGAACCAAATATCAATTAACATTTGATTGACTGTCTTAGAAGAACCAAACCAAGGTGAGCAGCAAAGATTATTTAACTGAATTGAAATTTCAAGCCTGCCCTCTCTGCACATACGTCTGGTAAACTCACTTTAACACAAACAGCCTATATTCAGAGATCAACTGCCTGCAATGTCATATAGTTAGAGCCCTACCAAATTCACGGCCATGAAAAATGCATGGACTGTGAAATATGGTCTTTTGTGTACTTTTACCCTATACTGTACAGAATTCATGGAGACCCTGCATTTGAGAAATGCTGGTCCTGACCCAAAAGGGAGTTGGGTGGGGTGGGGGGTCACCAAGGTTATTTTAAAGGGTTGTGGTATTGCCACACTTCTGCGCTGACTTCAGAGCTGGCTGGTCAGAGAGCAGCGGCTGTTGGCCAGGCGCCCAGCTCTGAAGGCCGTGCCCCGCCAGCAGCAACGCAGAAGTAAGGGTGGCAGTACTATACCATGCCACCCTTATTTTTACATTGCTACCTTCAGAGCTGGGTGACTGGAAACCAACGGCTGCTGACTTGAGGCCCCAGCTCTGCAGGCAGCAGCACAGAAGTAAGGGTGGTGGTACCATACCAGGCCATCCTTTCTTCTGCGCTGCTGCTGGCAGTGGCTGTGCCTTCAGAGCTGGGCTCCCGGCCAGCAGCCGCCGCTCTCCAGCTGCCCAGCTCTGAAGACAGTGCAGTTGCCAGCAGCAGCACAGAAGTAAGGGTAGTAGTACCGCAACCACACACAAACACCTTGTGACACCCTCTTCCCCTCTCCCCGCCACCCCTAAACTTAGGTCAGGAGGGACCCCTACAATTACAACACCATGAAATTTCCGATTTAGATAGCTGGAATAATGAAATTCATGATTTTAAAAATCCTATGACCGTGAAATTGACCAAAATGGACTGTGAATTTGGTAGTAGGTCCCGACCTATATTTGAATATCCAGTTTATATACATCAGCTGATAACACCTAAACTGGTTAATCCAATTTTCTGTAGCTGGCAATGACGTTGGCTATTTTCCTATAACTTGAACTCAGGTATTGGTAGGTAAAGGAAGGGAGGGACTTAAATTCCCCCCCACACACACACACACACCAGAAAAATAAGTCTAAATGTGTTGGTATGGGATATCAGTACATATTTTTTAATTGGGTTGGGGAGAATGGAATGATAAGGCACCAACTGACTATAGACTGCAAAACATTCTCTCATAAAGAATTTAAACATTTTATTTAAAGCTAATAAATTAAAACAAAAGCCTTAAATTGACCAAGAGAATTCAGAATGGAAGGAAGGCTGATACCCAAACCTAAACTTGCCATGTTTTTCTTGCAGTCAGTATTGAAGCATGTAATGTTAGACTGTTCTCAGATTCTTGCATCTTTCCAAAGTGCTAGTTACAACTGTTACACCCCTAAAGAAGTGGTGTGCAGTGAATCCTGGTATGATTTGTTAGGAGCATATTTTCCCCCCCAAATCTTTTATTAAAAGAGCTTGTAATTTGAATATTAAGTACCTTTCCCCTGTAAAAAGAAAAGGAGTACTTGTGGCACCTTAGAGACTAACTAATTTGCATCCGATGAAGTGAGCTGTAGCTCACGAAAGCTTATGCTCAAATAAATTGGTTAGTCTCTAAGGTGCCACAAGTACTCCTTTTCTTTTTGCGAATACAGACTAACACAGCTGCTACTCTGAAACCTTTCCCCTGTAAGTTATTCCTGTGGAAGTTTGGGCCTTTAGCTTTCTGCCCCCATTGTAAAGAAAGCAGTAGATTTGTGAATATAATTTACACCAGAGTATTGCTTTACATTAAATTGTTTCTATAGTGTCCCCCTCCCACTTTGCCCTTTCAGTATTTACCATGAGAAGCAGCAGAAGAGTTCCTGAATTGATCTGATTTTTTTTTTAAGTAAAATGATCTTACCATAAGACAAGTGTCACTCACTTTTTACAGACTTGCACTCAGTATTAATAAGCTACATCATCTCCTAGCTCAGTGAATATGCAAATACTAAATAAGTAAATCTAGGTGCCTAGTCTCATGAGAATGGACAGGAAATGTGAAGTCTCCAGTTTTTTTTGTCTGCTCTTGGAATGAGATCTACATGGATTTAACTTTTTTTTTTTTTTTACCCGTGTGGAGAGAATCAGGCTGTAGACTAGGGAGTTCTTAAAGTAGTGTGTGAGCTTCATGTTCCATCCATTCACTTCACAACAATTTTTTTTAGTAGGATGGCATGCGAACCTATAAAGCTTAAGAGCCACTGTTCTAGATCCTTCTCAGTGTAACGTCTCTAAGAGCCATGATGACAGTGACTTCCTTGCTGGATTGGGAATTTGCCTTAAAGACAGCTTCCACAGTGCAGGAGGGCTGGGAGCACAAACATGCTGGTGTTAATTTAAGTACAGAAGTTGCTTAGGGAGAGAGGACAAAGCTGCTGCTGTTGCTAGCTTTTACCCACTCCTTCCCACTGCTGTAGCACCCCTGCTTTTGGTGTCAGGGAAGGAAAACAGTATTAAGGCACTGCTTCAGCTTAGGCCAGTGGTCCCAAAACTGTGGGGTGTGCCCCCCTGCATAGGGGCACGGAGGAACATTCAGGGTGACACACAGCAGGACCTGGGGCAGCCCTCATGGGATTTGGGGAGGGAACGCCGCCCTGCCCTGCCCTGCCCTGCCCTGCCCTGTCTTCAGCCGCAGCCCCATCCCCAGCTCTGCCCTCATTCCATCTGCCCCCA